AGTATTTCCAAAACAGTATTCCTTTTCACTTGGATACCATATACCAGTTTTAACCTCCTCCATAACGATTTGTATCCTAGGCAGGTTCCACTACCATCTTCAATTTCTTCTAACACCCCAAAAACCACATCCTCTATGGGTAATTCTTCAACATTTTTTCGTTTCAGATTCAATTTTTTCAATATTCTTTGTAACTGCCTAACAGAAATGCATAAATTATGGTAAAAGAACAAAAAAAAAGATTTCAGGCTGATTGTAACCCTCTGTGAAATATTTCTTGATTAAATTGTTAAGAAACCACCGCATTGCTAACAATCATTGATTCAACATTAATTACTATACTATTAACATATATGAATGGATAGAAAAAAGTAATAGAAAATCAGCCATTCATTATATTTCAAATTACGCATACCAATGTGACATAATATCTCTGTACATTGCACAAGTGACGTAATATCTCTGTACGTTCCACAAGTGATGTCACATATCTGTACCAGCGTATCAGTAGCATTGTATGTCGTGACCGGGCTTCCGTACTCGGCCGTGTGTTGGTGCGGTTATGTGTGTCCCGACCCTAATCCTGTACATCATTGTAAATAAGTATGTAAATGAAGCTTGTAAATAGAATTCATACTGTACTGTGGTAAATGATAACACATGGCGCACTCCGAAAAAGAGGAACTGAAGCCATAAAAATGGATTTGAAACCGCCATATTTTAAGGTCGGAGATTCAAAAGCCGCCAACTTATGGCCGAAGTTTAAATAATCTTTTGAGGTATTCCTGGTGGCTGCTGGATTAACGGAAGCTGATGACAAGATAAAGTGCCATTTATTACTACACAGCATGGGACAATAGATGTGTACAACACTTTTGAGTTGAAACCAAATGAAATTGATAAATTTGAAGTGCTGGTTATCAAATTCAATGATTATTTTCTGCCCAAAGTCAATGTAACATATGAAAGACACAAATTCTTTATGAGAAATCAAAAAACTGGAGAAGGGTTTGACAACTATGTTACAGAATTTAAATCTCTTGCAAGTTCATGTGATTTTGGAAAATTAAAAGATACACTCTTGTATTATATGTATTATATGTGGCATAGAACACATTAAATTAAGAGAAAAGCTATTAACAGAGCCTAATTTAACACTAAATAAACATGTCGATATTTGTCGAGCTACTTTAGCAACAGAGAGTCACATTAAGGACATATTAAGTGAAGCAATAGCTATAAATAAAATTAATAAGCACAGAAAAAAAGCAAGAAGATAAACATACAAACAAAGAGAAGACCATAAAGGACTGTACGAGATATGGGTATACACATAAAGTGAATAAATGTCTGGCATACCAGCAGACCTGCAAGAAGTGTAATAAACTGAATCACTTTGCTAAAATGTGTGGACAGAAACAAGTGAAAGAAGTTACAGCGGAGAACAAGAAAAAAGAACTAGAAGATGAAGAGAAAGACTCATTTGTCATAGGTTCAGTACATAGTAATAAATCAGAAGACTGGGTAGAGGTAGTACAAGTTTGTAAAAAGCCAAAGGTATTTATAGAATTTAAGTTAGATACAGGAGCTCAAGCAAGCATTATACCAAAGCGTGTTTTTGAACAAATCCCTTATGTTAAACTACAAAAAACCAACACTAAACTCAATAACTACAATGGCAGCAGCATAAATCAGCTGGGAGAGTGCACATTACACTGTATTCTTTCAAACAAAAATGGATTTGACCTAGATTGTATTGTAGTAGACACTTTAAATCATAAAAAAAACTAATAAATAGAGTTTATTCTATGATTTTCACTATAAGGGTTTTACAAAAACCGNGAAAAAGAATCAAGTCAGTCTTGCGCGGACCTGCGAGTAGTTCGCAGCCTTTTGACAGAGTCGCTACGATCCCCCGGGTAGGGCTGAACATGTTGCGAAGGGTTTCAGTATTGCTAATTATTCGTGGTTAGGTGAATTGAGGTAAAGAGGATCACGTACGAAATCAGAAGTAGGTCAGTGGAATTTCCTACAGAGTTTGGAAAAGTATCGTGTAGAGTGAAATACGGTTTCGAGAAATGCTCTCGATATTTGGGAGTTATTCGCATTTTGACTTGAGGTAAAAAGTCAGCAGCGTACAAACTCAGAAGTAGGTCAGTTGGACTTCCTATGGAGTTCTGGGTATTGTTGAAAATACCATATAACTATGAATTGGGTTCCCTTTTTCAATATTAAGAATATTATTGGGTTATACCATCTTATGCCCATTATACAGATAGGAGCGATTGAGTGGGTCTGTTGATAGTTCCTCATACTTGTGTTTCATTTCAGAAGAATAAACCTGTAATTTTTTTCGAATTTGTTAGTTTAAATGTTTTCACATGGTAATAACTATATATTTCTTTACTTTCATGTTGCATACAGTTCCAATAATATTCAGTAAATCAGGTATAAGAGAAGAGTGTGTAAATGGATCGATACCATATACAGGGGGGTATTTTATTCTTGTGCGAAAATAATTAAGATAATCATTATATATTTAGGATCATATATCAGTGGTATTCTATCGTAGTGTGTATTCTATCGTTGCCCAAAGAGATCACACATTTTGAAAAAACAATTTTTTAAATAAAAAAACTATTTTTTTAAATCAATTAGTATCGTTTTATGCTCTTGAAATTAACACTTTTCTATTACAGAAGATGTTACTAATACATTTATTTTTCCAATGAACATTGATTTAAAAAAATCTGACATAGGGTGGCGGAATTACGAAATTTCTAGTCCCAAATTCAAACATCAATAATTCCGCAACCTGTTAACGAAATTCAAAAAAGTATAGAGAATTGAAATACCTTCCATACGAAATGTGACAAGACATCTTACAAGTACTTTTTTACAAGTGCTTTTTTATCAAAAAGCACTGTATATTTGAGGATTTATTACTATGCTCTGAATACTTTGGATATCACTATATTATGATGAAACAAAGAACTCAGCCTCGTCTATCTATCAGTCTGAACGAGATAAATTCATAAACTACCAAACGGATTTTCAAATGGTTTTCAGCAATGAATGGAGTTATTTAATAGAAAGCTTTATATGTATAATTCATTATTGTCTTGGTTGAATTGGTTGAGATATGAAGATGTTATTTGTGTTACCCGTGTGATACCTGATAGCTTTCATCGAAAACGCTGAATAAAGCTTGTTGCCCACTTGTCTTGCACAGCACGGCGCTGTCCGTTGCCTGATGGCGACGGGTAGTAGCATCGCCCACTTGTCCAGCTACAACCAGCATTCTGAAGGTGCTGTTTATTCGATTTCGAACGAATTTCAGTTGACATCGAGCGGTGACAGAAACATGTCTATCACTAGCAGTTCTGACGAAGAAGTCGTCATAATAGTGGCCGCATTATTGAATGTAGAAGAGAATAGTCACAAAAAAGAATGTTGTGGCTCCATCCCATTTATCAAAAGGGGGCAAATCTGGTAGAGTTTCATCATCGGTATTTCTAAATGACTCCAGGCAAATTTTCTGAAATTCTGGATATTCTAGAGCCTGCCTTAACAAACAACTCAATTTTTCCTCGTCCATTTTCATAGGTACCGCCTGACACTGTGCTATCAACTGAAGGAATAGCAAAACAGAGACAGACACTTCCCAGGCACGTTTGGACAAGTTAATGCTGGCAAGCGCTGGCCGGCGACGCGCTCACTTTGCCAGTCCGTAACAGTACGTACCGTTATTTGCCGGACGGACGCTCTTGACTGTGCCGTGCCGGGCTAGTGGGCGGTTGTCCATTCATTTTCATTGTTCCAATCCTACCCGTATTTTGACGGAAAGGGCCGTGCTATGCTGTGCCGGACAAGTGGGCGACAAGCTTAAGAGATCCAGTTTTGCAGAGTAGTTCTTGCTGATGGGATCTATCTGTTAAGATATCGGTCTATATACATTCGACGTACTTCTGTAGCATTGCCGTTAGCACGTCCATCGTTCATAAATCAAATGCATTTGAACTAATTTGGCATTATTCCTACTCATTTGATGAGATAGTGTTTAATCCACTAAACTAAACTATTTTACTTCGGTCGGTTCCATCCAAATAGATCACCCTTCTAAGACTGATATATGTAAGATGAAAGAATGACTAACCGTCCCCCGTCACCTAACGATAACACTCAAATACGCCTCAATATACCTACTTCTTGCGCTGAATGTGTCAAGTTCGCAAAAGTGAATAAAGTAAGTGAAATCGTCAACATCATGGGGACACATCAAGTAAGAGAATCATGCTTAGTACATACAAAGAGGAAATTAGAAGGAAACTAAGGAAACTTCATTCGTACTCGTCAAGTGAGTAGAATCGCTTCAACGTGTGTATAATGTTTTAGAAATCAACCAGAGAACAGGAAAACAATAACAGTGATGTCTGATCATTGATCATCGGCAGAGGCAATCTACCGTGTAGATATCAATATGGCCAATTATTAGTGAAAAACAAAAAAAACATGATCGATAATGGCTCATTCCAGACAATTGCACGGCTTTAAATGCTCCTAAGGTCGAACGTTACTCTCAACAACTCTGAACGTTACTCTCAACAACTAAGTTGAAAAAAGAAGGATTTCTTATAGACTTTCAAACCACATTAAGCGAGAGTTTATCAGCCTTGAATGCAACTATAATAAATGTACTGTCTGATGAAAATGCTGAACACTCTAACCAAAATAGGTAGGTGCCGGAAAACTATTATGCAACGTACATAACTCAATTTCAAACCATGGAATATTTCTTATTGCTCCTCATTTTAACCTGAAAATTCAGAAAGTTGCAGTTGTTCCATCTCTTCGTACCGTAAATGTTTGGAAAAGATTTCAGTGAGAAGTGCAAAGCAATGAAAGCCCTGGAATCTATGGCAAAACGGCTGAAAGCTCAGCCATCCACTTCAAAAACTTCAAAGGCCCTGCCTCGCAAATACATTGGAAATATTACGAAAAGCAGGGAAGGGGGTCATTTCTCTAGCAGGCACCACAACCTAGAGGAGTTCGCGAACAGAAACCTAATGGGTTAAGGGATATAAAATTCCTTTTGACACCTCAATTTTCCAAACACAGGTACTCAAGCCGCCAACAATCCCACCTAACCAATTGAACTTTCATCACAAAAATTCAAACAGACTGATGAAAATGGGCGCCGTTAAGCCAGAAGACAGATGTAGACAATTTTTGCCCGACTCTTCGAAGACTTTAGTGACCGCAGTTTTCTCACAGCCCCTTGAGACTCTTGAGAAATGATCCCTCATAGCCCCTCACCGACTCTGAGAGATGTAATTCGACCTGGCGAAGCAAAACATCCAGAAGCCTACAAGATAATATGTCCAGTGGGGTCTAATGACTAATGGACCTCGAGAGTTTTAAGGGGCTGTCAGAAAACTGCATTCACTAAAATCTTCGAAAAGTTGAAGTGAAATTTCAAAATGGATGTTCAATTTTACCGTAAAAGGGGAACGCGGCAAATTTCCGCAGTTCGATATCCAGAAGCTGTGATGCTTCTAGAAACCGTGATGACATGTGCGCCGCAGATGTGCCGTTTCAGGACTGGTAGGCCGAGTCCTGAAGGAGATTTGGTTTTATGTTCAATTTTTATTCGGTTATTTCCTGAGGTTGAAACCGAATGATAGCTGTAGATTGATTTTGAATCTCAAACAACTGAACACTTTTATAACGGCTCCTCATTTTAGGCTAGAAGATATGTGAACTGTAAAAAATCTGATATCAAAAAATGGTTTTTCCATTCTGATTATCACTGATGGAACTGAGTCAAACTCAATACTTGAAAATAACGAAATTTCTCAAGTTCCTTGGACATTTAGTTTCTGTTTGCCCTGCGGTGAAATATAGATGGCTCTATACAAAACTATTTGAGAGGCACTAATATTTGGCTTTGAGGGCAAATGAGGGAGATTATGATAGTGTGATAAAAATTTACAGTGAGTTGAGAAAGCAAAACAGGACCTGAATTCTCAAGAGTATATGCACATTTTGACTGAAATTACATGGAAATAACATACAAGCTACAACCAGAAAATGAAAATTGAAATATTAATAAAAGCTGAAAATTGAAAAATATTAACAGAAATGAAAAATAAAAATTAAAAGATTCCAAACCAAGTTATGTCACGACGTTTCTATTGTTAGTATCTACAATCGTCTTCGGGTGATAACTGGACTTATTCCTCTGAGATCTGACTATTTATAGGTCATTCGGGCGCTTTCACCTTTCCCCNATGGGGTTATGAATGGTATTGATTTGAATGTCTTTGTCACATAGTACTTGAAGTATTACAGTGTTAGAGTTCCCTGTAACAAAGTTTTTTTTGTTAGTCTTGGACTTTCGGGCAATATTTTTGTGATAGGTTCCTTTGTTGGTTTTTAGCTTTATTTTTGTTTCCTTGAGTATTTTAGTCTTATTGAATTTGGGTTGATCTTTTTGTCGTGCTTTATCCTGATATATGCTACTTGTTGATCAGAAAAATCGAAGGGTTCATCTCGGT